CTGTGTATATTTGGTATTCTTAGTTGGAGGGAAGTAGAGAATATATTTGATGTCTATGGATAAATCAGGGCTAGATCTCCTCATGGCTGAGCAAAGTGGCTGCTTGCTCCATGATTAGGCCTCAAGAATGCAAGCCATACCAACTCTTCCTAGCAGCAATCTGCACTGCCTAAAAATTACGACAGAAAAATATCTTTTTGATTTTCAGTTTTTCTTTTCCCCCCATGTGTTCTTTTTTTTTTAAATAGAAATACTCCAGAGAAAAGATATTAATGGCTAACTGGCAAGTGGGAGAAAGGTGTGGAGCCTGATTGAGTCACTCTTTCCCTCTTCCTTCTGTCCTCCCCCTCCTCTCTACCTCTCTTAAAAAAAAAAGTATAGAGAAGAGAATAAAATCCCATAATTCTATCATCCACAGGTAATCACTATTCACATTTAGTGTTTCTTGTCCCATGCCTAATGGTGTTCATAATTGACGTTAGTATACTTTTGTTTACATATTTGTATCTTCTCATGTCATTAAAAACTGTCAGCATTTCCTTTTTGTCAGCATAATTTTCACTGACTGTATATATTTAATAAAATGGGTCTACAATAAGTCAGTTGAGTCTTTTAGCTGTTCCTACTGGGATTTCAAGTTTCATAGTTTTGTTGGTAATCTGCTTTAGAAGACCTCTTGCAGTGAGCCATGCAGTGGAGGTACTGACTAGGATAGGCCTGCACCAGCATTTAAGTCAAGGAAGGGGGACCACAGCTGAACCAGCTGCATAGGAATTGTTCTTTCCTTCTCCCAGCCCTCGGTATACTGAAGAGAAAGAGAGGCCTAGATAACTGCAGAGGGATGAGAAGGAGTCACGTCACTATTATAACTTTCTTTCTCTGTGAAGGTTCTTTAGGCTTCAGGGCAGACCTGTCCTGGGAGAGGGGAAAGAACTGTAAATTAGATGTGATGGACATTTTAAGTTGGATTAAGTTTGCTTGAAATGTACTTTTTTTGAATACTTGAAAATTATTGGAAAGCTAAAGAAACTGATATTCAGGGATAGGAAGGTGAAATTCTGGATAGCAAATTGAAAGCAATGATTGGAGAAAAATAATTAAGCCACTTCTTGTTTTAATTCCCCACCATGTAATATCGGGAAATGTTTTTTGATTAACTTTAATGATGATATTAATGTAGTAGAGAGATTTGACATGAAATTTATTCCCTCTTAAAGTAGTTAGCCATGTGGATGAAGCATGTGAAAGCAGGATTCTCCAAGTTGTATGGATAAGGAGTCTCTGAACTCAAGGGAGAAGAGATGATCTTCTCCCTTCTTTTTTCTTAAAAACAAAAACTTTTGGCAGGGGGGGTGATGAGGAGATGTGGATCAAAGGGTACAAACTTTCAGTTATAAGCTGAGTAAGTCCTGGGGATCTAATGTACAGCATGATGATTAAAGTTAATAATACTATATTGTATACTTGAAATTTGCTAAACTCTTAGATGCTTTTACCATACACAAAAAAATGGTAATTACATGAGGTTATAGCTGTGTCAAATTAACTTGATTATGGTAATCATTTCATAGTGTGTACAGATATTAGATATTTACATTGTACCCCTTTAAAAAACACATCACATGGTATGACCTACATATATATAATTTTTGTCAGTCATACTTCAGTAAAACAGGAAAATGGCTTTTTCCCCTTGATCATAACATTAATATATTCATACTATAAAGCATTTTAAAACTTCTGAAAAGTACAGATAATAAACCTCAATGCAGTCCATCACTCCATCCCAAACAGGAACAGCAGCCTTTGGGAATATTCTTACAGGTTTCCTTGTGCCTTCTTAAATTGCTTATTGCCTCTTCCTTTTTCCAAAGCTGAGATCATACTCATAAAATTTTTGTAGCCTGCAGTTGAGGCTACATAGGGAAGCAGAAATGGTAACATAAAAATATTCACTGATGAAGTGACCACTCAGCATTTCTGACTTCTCCCGGGAAGCTTGAATTTATCCACCCATTTAGCCACTGTTTCTTTCTCTGTGCTGGGGGCTATTCCAATGCAGATAAGATTGGGAAGTTATTTCTGGAGGTCAGTGAAGGACCCTGGAGATCTGTATGCTCACTGACAAATCTGTCTATGTTGGACCAGTTGAAAAACTGATGAAGAAATCAACACAGATGACAAGAAGATAGGTACTTTATTTTTTTTTTTTAAGATTTTTAATTTATTTTTTAGAACAAGGGGGCAAGGGGCAGAAGGCTAGGGAGAAGCAGGCTCCCTGGGAGCCTGTCATGGTACTTGATCCCAGAACCCCAGAATCATGACCTGAGCTGAAGCTGGACACTTAACCACCTGAGCCACCCAGGTGCCCTGAAAATAGGCTCTTTAAAGAAAAGTATTGCACATGACATCATTTTAACCTAACCTTTGGGGAACATCAGTATAGCTCCCAGGTAGTGTTGCTATTGTGATGCCAGTAGCAAGATGAAATGAAGGATGTGGTGTTCTGTTGTATATCATTTTGTTGGAAAAATCAACCCCCCCAAAAAACCCCACTATTTTTATTCATTCTTTGATCCAGTATTTAGTACATGGGTATAAAGTTTGCCTAAATGTTGTTAAACTGCCAAGCATGTTTCATCCTAACATTTATAGGGTTCTTTCTCAGTATAAATTCCCTATCAAATTTTTGTTTCCCATTATGAATATGAATGCTTATTATGGATATGAATACTTACTAGCCTTCTACTAATACTAATGGGACACCTGTATTTAATTTTTTAATTAATTTTTAAATTTTAATTAATCCTGTAAACTGCTTATAACTTACTTAATAAACACTGTAGTTCCCCTTATGTTGCAGTTTCAGTTACCTAAGATCACCCTTGGTCTGGAAGCAGATGATCCTCTTTCTGACATGTGGTCAGAAGGACAGTGGTAGCCTAATGCTGCCTGTGTCATTCACCTCCCTTCATCTTATCACATAGGCATTTTATCATCTCACATCATCACAAGAAGAGTGTTCAGTAAGATTTTGAGAGAGAGACCACGTTCATATTACAGTATAGTGGTATAATTGTTCTATTTTGTTATTATTACTGTTAGCTTCTTACTATGCCTGATTTATAAATTAAACTTTATCACAGGTGTGTTTGTATAGGAAAAACATAGTGTACATAGGGTTTGGTACTCAGTGCAATTTCAGGCATCCACTGAGCTCTTAGAACATATCCCCTGCAGATAAGGGGGGACTACATAGTAACCAAATAACATTTTTTCTTGTGAGTAAGCATATGCTAGAAAAGCTATTTTTATCTGAAATTAAGTAAATACTTAAAAGCCTGTAATTGCAGGTTATAATATATTTCCTTAACCTTTTTTAGGTCTAAATAATGGTCTAATATAGAAGGTACTACTTCTGTCTTTCTTGGAATTAGGGCCAGATTTCTCATATTCTTCTCACTCTGATACATTGATGACTAGTCATCATTAGACTGGTATATGCAAAAAGTTTTGCTAATCTGCTGAAGCAGGTTTTTAATTGTGAGCTTTCATTCTTTTAATTATAAATAGTTGTCATATAAATAATTAGCATCTGGGGTTTTTGTGCTGTATTCCAATTCTCCGAGATCCTTCTTTTTACCATGCACATCAATCACCTGGGGATCTTGTTCTGATTCAATAGGTATGGTGGGGGTAAAATTCTGCATTTGAAACCAGCTCAGATATGAACCCAATGCTGCCAGCCTTTGGACCACACTTTGAATTGTAGCCTTTTTGATAACACTTTTGGGAACAAAAGCCAGTCAAAGCTTGTTGAAGCCATTTCTTGTTATAACTTTATGACACATGCCTTGTTTATTAGTAATACATATTTTTCCAACAGGGAAATAGATGTTGAATTGTAGTGTGTGAGTTTTTCTAGTTTTTGTGTTGGGCATACTATCTACAGTGGTGGCATTTAGAAAGAATGAATGTACCGATGACAACAATGATGATGTAGTAATAACTGACAGGTACTGATGACTTATTAGGCCCCAGACGCTGTGCTTTACAAAGATTGACTAAATTTTTTGAACAAAACCATGAAGTAGACATTGTTACCCCATTTAAAAATGAAAGGCTTGGTAAAAAGTTAAATGACTTGCCTGTGGTCACACAGCCAGAGCAGGGACAGAACTGGGACATCAACACAAGAAGTTAGTCTAACTCTAAAGCTTATTGTTTGTAAAATCTTTTCTTGTCTGACAGTAGTCCAGAAACTAGACATCATAAAATGGATTTTCTAGCTTCTTTCCCAAAAGATTTTTTAAAGATCATTTTCCTTATATTTTCCTTCCTTGTGGCTTTCCCAAGATACTGGTGATCTCTAGCTTTTTAAAGTCTTCCTTTCTGCATATTTGTATTTAGATCTCAACTTTCATATTCTTTTGATGTAAACATTTATAAAGAATGAGTAGTAGGTAGTACCCTGCCCTGAATGAAAGATAAAAGTGTTTTTAGTAATGTTGAGACTGTTTTATTTGAAAGACGAGCCCTAGAAAACTTTAGATTTATAAATTATCAGAGAAGAATGGCTATTTCTTTTGAGTGTTCTTAAAACTTGGGGCTCTTTTTCTCTTTATCTAAATGGCAGTTGTAATTTAGTGATTAATCTGGAGACATAACTTCCATTCTGAGTTCTCCTGCCAGACCACCAGATGGTCTTAGAGAAGCCAAGGAGCCCCTCTGCCTTGCCTTCTCAGCCTGTCAAATGACAACACTAGTACCTTTAACTCTTAGGCTGTGAAGGGAAAGAGGATTTGTAGAGGCGTTTGTAAAAATTTGTGACAATGAGTGAAAGCTGTTTAGAATTAGATATGGTACCTCCCTTGCAGTTTCATTTGGAAGTCAATAAACACAGCACAGGTCATGATCCCTAAGAATATAACTGGCTTATTACTCATCTCCAAGTAATAAGAGATTATTTATTTTCATTATCCCTGTTTGTTTTTTTACAGTCCATCAATATTATGGAACTGACTTTACAGAAATATGGAAGTTATGAAAAGTTTGAGCAGGCCACTGGTGGCAGCCTGCTATCTAAAACTCGAATCTGGAGTCATGTTCGGAAGTACATGATGAAAGAAGGCTGCCTGGGTGAGGTATGAATCGGGAGTGACACGAGATGCTGTTGGCATTTTAACTGCTCATTAAATTAGTCACCCAGAGATCTCACTATATTGAATTGTTGTGTTCAACTTCTTTGTGTTTTTCTTTACTTATACTACCCTTTCTGTAAAGCCTATGGGATTATGGGGGTTTTTTAATGAAAATTATAATGAAGCAATTTGCTTCAGTGGCCTCCTCTTATTAGCAGCCAGTTCAGAATGACCAAGCAGTGAAGTGGTCTCTGGCTTGTGTACCATCCTTTGCATCATTTTAACTGGGGGGGGGGGGGCTGTATTTGAGAGCACGACAGGGCACTGCTTCCTCAGCACAGCCCTCTACTTTTCTTCAGTCCAGGAGAGGCTCTTGAATTGCCCATACTTAGAAGTGGGAAGGTCAGAAGTAATTATTATCTTCTTGGTATCGGGAGATTCAAATTGGCACAAGCGAAATAAAAATGTACTGGTTTATGGGTCTCTTGTTTCCTGTAAAAGCTTCCTCTCCCCAGCCTCTACATTTTGTTTTATATAAATATATTTTTGTCCTCTTCTTAGATTGTAGTTCATCTCACTGAAGATCTGCTTTCCCGAGCTTCAATGACCGTGGTAAATGGGTGCCCAACACTGACCATTAATGTTTCCACAGCACGTGAGCACTGGCTGGAGGGAATGCTGAGGCATGAAATAGGTAGGGATAGCCCTTCATTTGTTCACTTAAAATATCAGAAATCAGCTGCAAAGAAACTTTTTTATAATGGGTTTTTTCTTAGCAGTATTTGGCAAAAGGTAATGAAATTGTTAGTTTTCATTTGAACTATGATATTAATGTCTCAGTTCAGATTAGATTTTTTCAGTACCATGTAGCTGTATTGAGCTTGGATTAACTCCTGGATTTCAGTTCACCTGTGTTTCTGAAACCAAGGGAAATGGAACTGAATGCTGGATTCCTTTCAGATATCAAGTCTCTGATTCTTCCCTTTAAGAAAATAAATTGTACAAAAGTCACACTTCTTTGAATGATACATGCAGTCCTTCTGAAGGCAAGAGTACCTCCTTCAAAAAGCTTTAGGGTCAGGTCCTTTTCCACTTTGTTTTGATTCACAGGTACACATCAATTTGGTTTTAGAACTGTTGGTAGAATCTTTTTTGGAAAAGAATTAAAATGTCACTTCTCGTTTTTCACATGCCTTTTCTTCTCCATAGGCACACATTATTTTCGAGGTATTAACAACCTTCAGCAGCCATGGAACAGTTGGACTGGCCGTAAAAAACATGAGCTAAAGCCAAACAATCCCACAGAGGAAGGACTGGCAAGTATTCACAGCGTCCTTTTTAGAAAAGACCCCTTTTTATGGAGGGCGGCCCTCCTCTACTACACTGTTTATCGAGCCAGCCAAATGTCTTTTTGCGAACTCTTCAAAGATATTGGAAAGTTTGTCAAGGACCCCAATACCAGATGGGATTATTGTGTACGAGCCAAGAGGGGATGGACTGATACTTCTCAACCAGGTGGGTGTCCCTTGATTGTATGTTTGCCTTATGGTTAGTTGTCTGTTGATTTTGATTACATCCTTATCCACCAGAGAAATCACTCACTAGTGAAAAATTAAACCTTTGTTACTTGAGGTCAATCCTAGTTTTCCCAAACCATATTTTGTTAGCATTCTTTATTCAGTTATCATTTTGAAAAATTTCAAACCTGTACAAATATAGAAATGATAGAATTAACACACATATTACCCATCCTCTAGATTCACCAATTATTAACATTTTGCCAGTTCTGCTTTTTCTTGCTCTCATTTTAAAAACAGCTCTACTTCACTTGACTTACAGTTTGCCCATTAAAATATATAGCTCAGTGGTTTTTAGAATATTCATGGAGTTGTGCAGCTATCACCACTGTCTAATGTTCTCTTTGACCATTAAATTCTCTGTTAAGCATACTGCATAAACAGTTTTGTTGAGCTCTCTGGCTCTAAGTTTGTCTGGTTCTTTTATTTGGGACATATCCTCTGTCTTCCCAGTTTTTTCTGACTCTGTGTTAGGAAATTCAGCTGCATCTGTCTCCTGCTCTTTAGAAGAGTGGCCTTATGAAGAAGAGCTTCTATAGTGCTGTGTATTTGGGGCCAGGCATGTGGGGCCAGCGAGATCCCCAGTGGTCTGCTGGAGGGGACCTACAGCTGTCTGGGAAAACTCCTGTGGAGGCCAGGTTGGAGGGGGTGGATTCACAGGAGATTGCAGGGGTAGGGTGTGCTGTTTGGAAACTGTGTGAAGGGTCTGCTGTGTGAGGAGACCTGCAGCTGCTTTGGAGAACTCCTGCAAGGGTGGGCTGAGAGAGCAGGGTATGCTGTTGACAAGCTAGGCGGAGAGTATGCTTGTTCTTGCATGTGTCTATGTACCTAGGCTGGGGCAGGGAGAGGAATGGCACCTGTCAGCTCTTTTGTTCTTAGAGGAGTCTCCTGAAGATCCCTGCTCCTCCAGCACATACTCTGAGATTAGTAAACATAAATCTCCTTCTCATATACCCTACCTAATGTTGCTCTATGCTGTATCTCAGTGGGGCTGTTTGTTATGCTGTCTCTTTAAGGGCAAGGATTCAATTTCCTCTTGCTCCCTGGCTCCCCCAAATCTAAGCTTGGTGATTTTTAAAGTTCTTCGTATTAAGCCCCACTAACTATAAGAACTCATGAAGTTAAGTCCCTCTGGCTTTCGAAGCCAGACGTTATAGGGATTTGTTTCTGCAGTGTGGGTCCCTTATGTTTGGGGTAGGTGTTATAGGGTCTGCTCCTCTCCTTTCTCTTTGCTCGCAGTGTTCCTCTCACCCTTCCCCATCCTTAAGCGGTGTCCTCTCCTGAGGACAGTCTTCTGGGTCAGTTTGGTTTCTGACCACATCTCTGCCCTACCCACCCTTTTCAGTGTGATCTCTTCTCTACATTTAGCTGTGGAGAGTCTGTTCTGCCAGTCTGTTGGTTGTTTTCTGTTGGGTATTTACACTGACATGGGTATTCATAACTAGGTCTACCTGGGCCAAGGTGAGCTTAGGATCCTTTCTCAACCATCTTCCCGGTGAGTCCTTTGTCATTGGGGTTTTGATTTGGGTTTCCCTGATGACTAATCATGTTGAGCATCTTTTCATGTGCATTCATTGCATATTTTCTGTAGAGAAGGGGTCTAAATAGACCCCTTCTCCATTTTTAATTGGGTAATTTGTCTTTTTATTATTGAGTTGTAGGTGTGCTTTGTATATTCTAGTTACGAAGCTCTATGATTTACAAATATTTTCTCTATTCTGTGGGTTGTCTTGCACTTACTTAATAATGTTCTGTGACTTTTTAAAAGTACACTGTACACTTGCTCTTTTATTCCTGAACCCCTGAGCATGCATCTCTTAAGAATACAGACATTCTTCTAATACGATATCATTATCACACTTAAGAAAGTGAGCATAAATTCAACAATCTTAACTAATACGTAATATTTGGATTTCCCCAAATATTTCAAAAATATTCCTGACAGCTGTTTTTTGTTTTTGTTTTTGTTTTTTTTTTTCAAATTTAGATCCAGTCAGGGCCCAGGCATTATTATTGGTGGTTGTGCCTCTTCAGCTTCTTTTAATACAGAGCAGTGTTCCCCATCTTTTTTTCATGATACTGAGTTCTACTTAAAATCCAGGCTGTTCTTATAGAATGGCCACAATGTAGATGTGATTGATTGTTACCTCATGATTAAATTCTGGTAAGGGTGTTTGGCAAAAATACTGCATAAATGATACTAGATCACACAGCAGGAGCCACCTCATGACCAGTTGTCTCACCATTACAGATAATGACTTTGATCCTTGTTTCAGGTGGGGATTGCGAGCTCTTTCTTTTCTAAAAATACATTTCCTTTTTTTCCTTTTTAATAAGTAATCTTTGAGGTGATAGATACAGTCCTATTTCCCAACAGCCTTTCATCTCATGGTTTCAGCATCTGTCTGTGATCCTTACTTGTCAGTTTCACTGGAGATTTCTAGCACTTTTATTATTTTATTTTTCTAAAGAAAATAGAGGCAAGGAGATACAGGCACAGTGCTGCATATTGAGATTCAGAAGCATATTGAGATTTCCAAACATTTCTTGTTCAGATAAGTTTGCTACTGTAATAGAAAGTGTAAGTTTTGTCAGCTTGTAAGACTTCAGATTGCCCACAGAGTTTTTGGTAATTTTTTTTGTTTTTGTTTTTGTTTTTTAATAAAATAGTAGATTATAAGGCAAAAAATGCTTTTGAGAAAAGGGCAAAAATTAGAAAATGTTCATTTAAAAGTCATTTGGACTTTAAGATTACATTCTTTTCTTCTAAAAGTATGTAAAACTCAAATGAAGCTTGGAAATAACCCTAGTCCGTGATGGTTATGTTATCAGCCCAGTCTGCATTAAGAATTGTCTGTGATGTGGTTGTATGAAAGTGGTGGTACCTGAGAGCCAGGACCATGCAAGAAAAGAAGCAGAGAGGAGGAAGACATCTGTCCCCTGCCTTTCATGTATGCAAAGCCACTCTAGGCTCAGTTTCAGATCAAAAGTGTGTCTGTCATTTCCCATCTCCTTTTCAGATCAACTTGTCTGTATTTTAGTGCTCTGTACCCTGAGGCACAGAGCTTTCATATTGCCTATCATGTTAGTCTAGTTTTTTCTTCACAGATTTATTTGGGGGGGGGTACAAGTGAGAAAACTGGAGGGGGAGAGAGAGAGAAAGACTTTCCAGCAGACTCCCCACTGATCATGAAGCCCAGCGAGGGGCTCAGTCCTACAAACCTGAGATCATGATCTGAGTCACCCAGGTTGTCTCACATAACTTTTTTTTAAAGAAAACTGTTTAATATTAAAAATTTGAAATTTGAAAAATTTCAGATTTCAAAAGAAAAGTAATAGGATATACCCTTATTAAACATCACTTCGTCTTAGTAATTATCAACATTTCCTAGCTGTGGATCATCTATTCTTCTAAGTTCCTATTTTCCTATAGTATTTTAAAGCCAATTCCAAATACCATGTATGTTCTCTACCTGTAAGTCTTTACTGATAAGGACAGTTTTATTCCTCCTGAAAAGTAGGAGCAAACAACTCATGAGATCTGAACCTAGTTGAAAAAATGTTCTAGTTGAAAAAATGTTCCACCTTTTTTCTATAATTCCCATGCTATTAGCATACTGAAAAAAATTAATTTCTTAATACAATTTTAGTCCATTTAATAAAGCAGAATTTTATAAAATTTACACAATTTATGTCCTTATGGGAGAAAAGTTTTCTTTGTAAGCGGAACCCTTCAACTAGTTCAGATTTCATGAGCTATTCCTTTTTGTGTCTTCATATTTTCTTCTATTTTTATTTTTTTTTAAAGATTTTACTTATTTATTTGACAGAGAGAGAAGGGGAAACAGGCTCCCCGCCAAGCAGAGAGCCCGATGCGGGACTCAATTCCAGGACCCCGAGATCATGACCTGAGCCGAAAGCAGAAGCTTAACCCACCAAGCCACCCAGCCGCCCCTATTTTCTTCTATTTTTAAATCTCGTTCTAATTCTTGTTTTCATATGGAGGAAGAGTATCAATATCTGTTTTTAATGGGGTGAGGGGTGGTATTTTTAAAAACTATGAGTTTCTGAACTCCCATCTCCACATTGCCCCCATGAGACTTACTGAGCTATAGCCATCCTCCCTGCTGCCCCAAGTGCCTCCTTGGACATGGGAGTTCAGGCTATGAAGAGTGCTATATTTTAAATGATCAATGGTTCTTTATAATTAGAAAAAATGCTGTTTTAACTATGGGGAATGGGAATCTGGGGAAAAGAAATTCATAAAGGGAAGCTACCAGTCTGCACATTATCCTGGTCCTACCTAAGACCTTGCATTTTATATTATGAAGATAGTTAATTCTAATTTACCATTTTTTTTTTTTTAGGAATGATGCCTACAGTAAAGGGAATGTGTTAGTAGCAATTACTTAGTAATTTTTTTTAAATATTAGAAAATAAAAGCTCTTGTCTTCCTCTAGGCTGCTTTAGTAAAGACCAGGTATACTTGGATGGGATCCTGCAAATTCTCCGGTACAGAGAGACCATTGACTTTCATCTACTGACTGCCCTGGGCAAGGTGAGTGAGACCAGTGGCATGTAGTCTAGAACACACCAGGTCATCATTTCCTTAGGCTTGGTTTAAGGATTAAATAAGATTCAGATTCCAGTGGTTACTGTTAGTTACTGCCAGATCTCTCCCTCATAAAAGGTACCTTTCTTTTTTATATTAAGTAATCTGTGGGGTAATACCTAAGAATGTACTGTTCTTTAACAACCTTTCAAGGAATGGTTTTAACATCCATTGATGATCTTTGCCCATATCAGTTAACTACACTAGTGTCGCAAAATAGAGATCTTCAAATTGTTACATTTCACTCCCCCTTTTAACAGTATTATTATGGACTTAAGTGCTTTTTTATTCATCCCTTCCAGTGGCTGCTCCTGTGTTTTTAAAAACATGCCACCCTGTTTTCTGGCAAAGTAAAATATTCTGGGTCCATCTTATCCAAATCTCAGATAAGATATTTTCTCCAAGGAAGGCTGGATTCCTTTTAGTGAAAATGGTATTTAGAAAACAAGTACTAGGTGTGCTTATTACTTCTGGAATGTTGATGCTTCTATGTCTTTCCAGTGAGCAAATCATGTATTTATTTTAAATCATAGGGTGTTCTAATTCACATCACACACTGCAAGTTTTTTACATCTTTCTTCCCATTCCATATGTGTGTCTCCCTTTTCCTCAAATGAAAATTGTGTTTACCAACTGCAGTATTATATCTATTATGTTTACTCATTCTTTCCTATAATAAACTCAGGATTGAGCACCTGGGTGGTTCAGTGGGTTAAAGCCTCTGCCTTCGGCTCAGGTCATGAACCCAGAGTCCAGGGATCGAGCCCTGCATCAGGCTCTCTGCTCTGTGGAGAGCCTGCTTCCTCCTCTCTCTGCCTGTCTCCCTGCCTTCTTGTGATCTCTCTCTCTGCCAAATACATAAATAAAATATTAAAAAAAAAAATCCAGGGGCGCCTGGGTGGCTCAGTGGATTAAGGCCCCTGCTTTCAGCTCAGGTCATGATCCTAGGGTCCTGGGATCGAGCCCCACGTCTGGCTCTCTGCTCAGCAGGGAGCCTGCTTCCCTTCCACTCTCTCGGCCTGCCTCTCTGCCTACTTGTGATCTCTGTCTTTCAAATAAATAAATAAAATCTTAAAAAAATAAAAAATAAAAAAAAATTTAAAAAATTAAAAAAATTCAGGATGGTTGAAGAATTACTGCTACTAAACAGTGAGTATACAAATCAAAATGGTCCAAAACTTTTGGGACACAGCAAAAGCAGTTCTAAGAAGGATGTCTATAGTGATACAGGCCAACGTCAAGGGACAAAATCTCAAACAACCTAACCTAGAGGAGCTAGAAAAGAACAATGAAAGCAGGATCTGGTTTTTCTAAAGAAAAACAATTGATAAACCTTTATCAAGCCAGAATCAAGAGAGGACTCAAACTGGAAGTGAAAGTGGGGAAATAACTGGTACTACAGAAATAGAAAGTAGAAACATGCAATCCTCTAAAATGGAATCAGGAAGAAGTAAAGAATTTTTTTTTTTATTTTTTAAAGATTTTATTTGACAGAGATCCCAAGTAGACAGAAAGGCAGTAGAAAGAGGAGGAAGCAGGCTCCCTGCTGAGCAGAGAGCCCGATGTGGGGCTCAATCCCAGGACCCTGGGATCATGACCTGAGCCGAAGGCAGAGGCTTTAACCCACTGAGCCACCCAGGTGCCCCAGAAGTAGAGAATTTGAATAGACTGCTTACTAGTAATGAAACTGAATCAGTAATAAATAAATTCCCAAAAAACAAAACGCCCAACAGCTAGGACCATATGGCTTCATGGATGAATTCTACCAAACAATTAAAGAAGAGTAAATATAATTCTCAAACTCTTCCAAAAAAATAGAAGAGGGAAAATTCCCAAATTCATTCTGCAAGGCCAACATTAGCCTGATACTAAAACCAGACAAAATCTCTACCAAAAAAAAAAAAAAAAAAAAAATGCAGGTTAGTATTTCTGATGAACATAGATGCAGAAATCCTAAACAAAATAATACCCAAACTGAATTCAATAATACACTAAAAGGATCACTGACCATGAGTAGGTGGGGTTTATTCCTAGGATGCAAGGGTAGTTCAGTATTTGCAAATCAGTCATGATATATCACATCAATAAAAGAATAAAAACCATATCATTTCAATAGATGAAGAAAAAATGACAGAATGCGACATCCATTCATGATAAAAACCCTTGACAAAGTAGGCTTAGAGGGAACATACCTCAACATAATAAAGGCCATAAATTAAAACCCAGCAGCCAGCAATGAAAAAACTGAAAGCTTTTCAAAACCCCTAAGATCAGGAATAAGACAAAGATGTCCATTCTTACCATTTTTATTCAACATAGTCCTAGAAGTCCTAGAAGCTGCAGCAGCCAGACAGGAAAAAGAAAAGGCATCCACATTAGTAAGAAGTAAAACCATCAGTATTTACAGATGACCTGATACTATATATTAAAAAAAAAAAAAAAAACCCTAAGAACTCCACCAAAAGACTGTTAGAATAAATGAATTCAGTAAAGTTACAGGATACAAAATATAGAGAAATCTATTGTATTTCTATACAATAATAACAAAGCAGAAAGAGAAATTAAGAAAACAATTCCACTTACTGTACTAAAAGCATAAAATACCTAGAAATAAATTAACCAAGGAGATGAAAGACCTATATTCTGAAAACTAGAAGACATTAATGAAGGAAATTGAAAATGACACTAACAAGTAGGAAGATACACTATGCTTTTGGATTGGAAGAATTAATTATGTCCATACTACTCAAAGCAATCTACAGATTTAGTGCAATCCCAATCCAAATACCAGGAGCATTTTCACAGAACTAGAATAAATAATCCTAAAATTCGTATGGAACCACAAATAATGTCAAATAGCAAAGCCATCTTAATAAACAAGAACTAAGCTAGAAGCATAAAAATCCCAGATTTCAAGATATACTTCAGAGCTATAGTAATTGAAACAGTATGGAATTGATACAAAAATGGATACATGCATCAGTGGAACAGGACAGCCTCGATCATTTAATCTCTGACAGAAGTAGAGTATACAGTGAAGAACACTTTCTCAATAAATGGTGCTGGGGAAAACTGGACAGCTACCTGCTAAAGAATGAAACTGGACCACCCTCTTACACAATACACAAAAATAAACTAAACATGGATTAAACACCAAAAACCTAAAAGGAAACCTAGGCTGTTATCTCTTGGACATATTTATGGATAGGTCTCCTCAGTCAAGGAAGGAAGAAAAAATTACTAAACCACACCAGTTATCAACAACAAATCTATTTTCATTACACTTAGTGGTATAAATAATAAAATAATTTCAATAACTTAAAAATTAAAACTTAAGGGGTACCTGGGTGGCTCAATTGTTAAGTGTCTGCCTTTGGCTCAGGTCATTGTCCTGGCGTCCTGGGATTGAGCCCCATGTTGGCTTCCTGCTAGGTGGGGAGTCTGCTTCTCCCTCTGCCCCTCCTCCTGCTTGTGTGTGTTCTCTAGTAGATAAATCTTAAAAAAAATTAAAACTTATGAAAATATAAATGAACATGATTTCTTTATTTAAAGCCTTTCTACTGAATCAGGTTACGGTGTTGGTCAGAAGACAATAGTTTTTAAAGCCAGCCATGTTTTGGAATTTAAAGTTGCAATGTTAATTTATAGAACTTAGAGTTTCATTCATAAACTCAATGTAAATATTTAGGAAAGACTGGCTTCTTATATAAGTAATTAAAACATTTTTATAGCATACTTTCTCCCAAAGAGAATCTAACGTAAAACACAGTTTTCCTGGGTTCTTTCATTTAGATTTAGTCCGGACATTTGTTTAGGTTTTAGAGTCTCTCACATACCTGTATTAAGTTTAGTTGTGTAATTTCTAAACAAACTGGGTATAGGTCCAAGATAGAGTGTTAAATATTGACTTGTTTTTTTATATGGTCATGGTATTAGCAGGCAGATAAATATATATATATTTTTTAAAGTAGGGCTGCAGAGGTGGGGGAGGAGAGAGAGAATCTCAAGCTGGCTCCATGCCTAGTACGTGAGCCCAATGTGGGACTTGATCTCACAACCCTGAGATCACAACCTGAGCTGAAATCAAGAAGTTAAACACTTAACCTACTGAGCCACCCAGGTGCCTCAGTACATTCTTATTTAATATGGTAAAGGAATGGAAGCCACTGATTTTTGTTATTTTGCAGGTATTAAAGTAATTTGAGGGAGAGTCCCCATAAAGCTTCTCTTAAGACTTAGGGAAGATGTTACCAATATTTAAAAATGGACCCATCTTCCTCTTTTCAGGTCTCTTATGAAGATGTGGATCGCTTGAAAGGATTGGCAGTTATTGAAAACATGAGGGTCCCTCATTTCCTGCAGGACCATGGCCGATACATGGAACATTTAGAGAAAATTATGGAAGTGAATGAACTGACCGACAGGGAACTGAAAGATCTTATATATTAATCAGCATTCTTACAGATGTAGCTAACCTATTAACCAATTAGGTGCAGTTAGCACCAGCTTATTTATAAAAACAATAACTGTTTACATGACTTTTCTGTAGAATGATCTGCAGTATTCAGCTGAATTTTTAAAAGTTAAGTACAAACCTTAAACTGTTTCCTTAACATGTTTCTATAGGCTGCAGGGGAAAGTTCCTCCTATTTTTATCTGAATCTCAACAGAGTCCAACGAAAATACTACTGGTGAGTTTTTCGGTTTTGTTTTTTTTTTTGAAGAATCTTGGTCAAATTGAGTGATAGGCTGTCTGGGCAGTGAGCATTGCTCCTTGGTGCTTCTGCCTGAGCACCAAGACTAGCCCTGACTATAGAGATAGAACACTGGAATTCAGACTCCCAAGATTATATTTTATTTTATAAATAATGGTAATTCTCCTTTGAAAAGTTAGTTCTGTTATGCTCCCCAAACGTAGCTGTATTTAAGACTTTTTATTTCTCTTAGATGTTAAGTAATGTTAAAGAGAGAGGGAAAGTAGTTTGAAAAGTATTCATTAGTTCTTTATTTTCCACATTGTCTCACCTTATCAGTTTATAGGAACTAAATTAGAGAATTACCTTTTTAATTATTTCTTAACTAAACTTTATTTGCTAAAACATATTATATCCCTTCAAGATTTTAAGTTTTAGGGTCTTTCCCTTCCTATTCCTTCATACAAAATAAGTAAAAGTTCCAGAGAGGTTTGTCTACATAGATTAAAATAGTTGGGGAAGAGAGAAGCTACTTACCTTTTTATTAAATGGAGCGACTAGCAAGACACAAATCGACTAATATAGTTCCTGTAGGCACTGGATATTGACTAGGTAGTGTCTACCATAGACTTCACCATGTGCTGGAGAGTGGAATTCCTAAACATTTGCTGTTTGATAAACTGGCCCGGTCATGTTGGTTCAGTATATTTTGTCAAAATCTTTGACTTCATCAACCCAACAATAACCTAGTTTGCTTTCAAAAATCAGAATTCTGTTTTGCTGCATTTTCTTTGTTAAAAGCTTACACACCTAGCTCTTTATTAACTTACCAATTTTGATATATATTGGATATATATACTTGGGATCCAATGATTCTTCAGACAACTTATTTTAATGATCAGGAAGAGCACTGCTGTAAACACCCATTCAAAATTGCTACTGTAATTTTTACCCAAAGCTATCAGAGTTCATCTTTACCTCAGTTCAGGTTTAAATATGGTGCTAACACTGGTAGATTCCTACTGCAAAGCCTGGTCCACATTCATGCTAGGAAAACTCTTCTACAGGCTAGATTATGTGATTTTTTCTCATTCACATATCTAGAAGGGCTTGCCTCGAAGAATGTTGCCACAAACAGGATGTATTCTAACCGGCACCTGGTAATTCTTGAAAGCCACACATCTCACCTTTGGTAAGTAGCAGGCCAGGCCCTTTGGACCATTAAAGGCACGCACACATGTGTCCTGATGGCTGGAGTGTGGCCTCTAGATCTCTGTGCAGGCTTTGGGCACATTGTGCCAACACTAACCAGGTACTGGAAAACACTCTTGACCCCTCAAGCATATTTCCTTGTAGCAGAGTCCTCCAGTTTCAGCTTTGGTGTAGCATTTTTCAAACTTATTCAAGATGATTGTGAAAACGGTGTTTTGTTAACTGGAATTGAAATATAGACAGAAATGACAATATTTATGTCCTGTGATTTAAGCCCACATGCTTACAAATTCAACATTTGTAGGCAATAACCCTGTTACTCTTATGTTATGGTTTAAATGTAAAGGAAAATCACAGAAGCCTTAATATCCTGTTGGTAGGATTATTTACAATGATGCTAGTCCCTGAATTTTAAAAATGGATATTCTCTATCTGATTTGGAAAAAGAAATACTTTCTTGCCTTATTGCTTTGGTATAAAGAAAAAAAAAAAAAACAGTGCTATCCAGACAGACAGACAAACAAAAAACAGACCTTCAATCACATTGGTTGTCTTAAGATATTTTAAAAGTTAGCAATGAACCAAAAGTAGTTCCAGATTAGCAGAATACTTAAAGAGCTCAAAGCTTTAAAAGTTGGGATTAAAGATTTAATGAATGTTTATTCTCTTTCCTGAAATAGCATTAAGGTCAGTTTTGTTCCCTTAAAATTGAAGTTTTAATAAATTGAAAATTATATCAGCAGTACTTACAATAGTTGAAGGTTGCATTAATTTTAATAGTTTTTAGTATAGGCTTTTGAGGATTAGGATTTTATCAATTTTGTCCACTGTAATTCTAACATATAATTGTATCAAATATAAAGTCTGATAAACTCTTAGGTTTTCACATCAGATGGGATTCAGAGTAAATTGTTTGTAGACATAAGTCCAGTCTTGATTTCTTTATATTTTCACTTTGTAAAAATGTTTAAAATTTGTTTGTTTTGTATATATCTGGGCATTTTATGTTTAGCTGTAATAGAGTGCTGAGGTTCTCAAATGAAATATGAGACTATGTATGCATGCAAACTTCTGTTCTTTGAAAACTTAATTATATTTTTTTTGTGGTATTTGTGTTTTTATTGGGTGGTAATTATTGATTATGTTTGTCTTCTAATATCCTTGTTTATAAGGAAATACTAAATTTACCACACTCCACCTTTCTCCTAATTAGTTCAGCTTATACTCTCATGGGTGAAGGGAAAAGGAGAGAGGGATAATTTCATCTTAATTTACTTTAAATACAAAGACAATAATTCAAAACTCTAAGCAACATGAGAAATCAAGGAAACATGACACCACTAAAAGATTATGATAATCTAGTAACCAAACCCAAAGACATGGAGATCTGTTTACCTGATAAGGAATTCAAAGTATCTGTTTTAAGGAAGCTCGATGAGGTATAAGAATACACAGACAATTCAATGAAGTCAAGAAAACAATACATGAAAAAATGAGCAGCTTAATAAAGAGATATCATAAAAAGAACAGAAGCATACTCTGGAATAGAAGGATACAATGAATGAAATGAAAAATATAATAGCACCAACACCAAAGGATCAAGCAAAAAAATATGAGAGGATGAGAATTTGGAAATTATCCAGTCATGGGAGAACAAAGAAAAAATGAAAGTGATGAAAGTCTATGTGATCTATAGGATACAATCAAATAATTTTCAAATTATTGGACTTGCAGAGGAGAGAGGGAGAAGGGAAAAGAAAGTTTATTTAAAAAAAATAAGGCTAAAAACTTCCCAAATCTGAGGAGAAATTTGGATATCCATGTTCATGAAACTCCTAGGTTACCAAAAAATCTCCGAAAACTTCTCCAAGAAACATTATTTAAAAACTACTAAAAATAAAAAAATCTTAAAAGCAGCAAGCACATAGATAGCATTTGCATCAGAATAAAATGAAATGAAATTCTTACCAGAAAATGGCCCAAAGATTGGCAGAACAAACTCCACTACTAAGTGCTAGGAAGGGGCCACATCAGTGAAGGTAGGAAGGGCAACAGTGCAGTCTGGGAGCAAAACAGTCAATGACCCTCCACTATGGGGAGGGAGCTAGTGGCATAGAGAAGGGTGGTAACAGACTCACACTGGGGAGCCCACGAATGGGGAGGACGAATCTCCATAATATTTGCCTTCCACAGTTTGGCTTTTGTGGACATTGCTCCTATGAATGTGGGGGGTCGATGTGCCCCTTCTTTTCACGAATCTATGTCTTTGGGGTAAATATCCAGTAGTTCAATTGTTGGATCATAGGGTTGCTCTATTTTTAACTTTTTGAGGATTCTCCGTACTGTTTTCCAAAGTGGCTATACCAACTTGCATTCCCACTAACAGTGTAAGAGGGTTCCCCTTTCTTTGCATCCTCCAACATTTGTTTTCTGCCTTATTAATTTTTGCCATTCTAACTGAGATGTCTTTCAACAGGTAAGTGGATAAAGATGTGGTCCGTATATACAATGAAGTATTAGTCATCAGAAAGGATGAATACCTACCATTTGCATCAACGTGGATGGAACTAGAGGGGATTATGCTAAATAAGTCAAGCAGAGAAAGACAGTTATCATATGGTTTCACATATATGTGGAACACAAGCAATAACATGGAGGACATTAGGAGAAGGAAGGGAAAAATGAAGGTGGGGAAAGCAGAGGGGGAGACAAACCATGAGACACTATGAACTCTGGGTTTCAGAGGGGAGGGGGCTGGGGGGATGAGTTAACCCGGTGATGGGTATTAAGGCAGGCACATATTGCAGTGAGCACTGGGTGTTACACGGAAACAATGAATCATGGAACACTACATCAAAAACTAATGATGTACTGTATGGTGACTAACATAACATAGTAAAAAAATGAAAAAAAGTAAGTTAAAGGGACCGAATTTCAGGAGTTCTGAAAACCAATGACTTAAACCCAGGAATTTAAAAAAAATCTTCGGGCTCAGTTCTGGGACAGCCTTGAGGGAATCAGGAAGCTGAGTCCCTGCCCTTAGCTCAACAAACAACTCATGCAGATACAGCATAGAATCAGCAGTTTGAAACATGCTGGGGGCAGACCCAAGGGAGAGTGGTTTGCTCATCTCAAAGCATGGCTGGACAGATCACAGAGAGACTCCTCCAGGGACAGAGGAACTAACAGGTGCCATTTCCCTTCTCCAACCACTCTCCACCTCTCCATAACTCGCCCCCGCCCCAAACAGTGGGCATATGCAGGAACCAGTACAGTGCTGCCTCTCGTTAGCTAATTTGCTTACACCAAGCCCCATAACCCTTGCTCTAGCAGATCTGCCCTTCCTAGTCTAGCTTGCCTGAGTTCCTGCACTGTAGGTCCCCCAGAAGATCTGCACAAACTCTGCCAACACTACATCTCCAGACCTGTGTGTCTTGTGGAACCTCTGTCCTGGTGGTGGTAGGACCAGGTCTCATTTTACAAGCACATCACCTCATTTAAAATTCACCCCCCCAACACACCATTGGTGACCAAACACTGCCTACAATAGGCAAAGACAGCCCCTGAAGACAACTGGAAGAAGGAAAAAAAAGAGGCCAAGACTCAATAGCAAAGGACATGCAACACACCTAAGAGACCCTCCCTCAAGCACCAGGCCCTGGGGAATAGGACATTACACTGCAAGGCACTATAGGACCTCTCCTTCATAAGGCTATTATCATTAAAAGCAAGAGAAGTAGCTGACTTTTCTAATGCATAGAAAGTTAAACAAAATGGGGAAACCAAGAAATATCTCCCAAATGGAATAGAACCAAATCACAGCAAGAGATCAAAGCAAAAGAGATATAAATAACAGGGCAGATAACTTAATGATCATGAAAACACTCTGGAGAAAAGAGTTGAGGAAATCAGTGAGACTGTTAACACAGATAAAAAAGAACCTATCAGATCAAGAACACAGTAAATGAGATTAAAAATACACTTGATGGAATAAATAGGATGCTAGATGCAGCAGAGGAATGAATTAATGCCTGGAAGAGAGAGTTATGGAAAGGAACCAAGCTGAGCAAAGGAGAGG